AGGAAGTCGCAAAGACCCTGGAAACCGTAGACGGGTTCCGCTTGAGACAGTTATGTGATGTAAAACGCCAACTAGAACAAGACCGCGACACGCGGAAAGCACTATGTAAGAAGTACCATAGAGCTTTCAATATCGTGGATGGGACTGATACTGCCCTTATGGCAACCAGCATGGGACTAGGGGCGGCAGGTGTTGGGTTGTTAGCCACCATCATGGCCGCACCTATAGTATTAGGCATTGAAATAACAGCTGGGGTGACAGGGGTGTTAGGGTTGGTGCTTAAGTTTGCATCACGCAGACTGCATCGTAAGGCGTTGAAACATGACGAGATCAGGGTTCTAGCCGAAGCAAAGTTAAACACCATAGACGACCATATTTCCACCGCACTCACTGACAATAAAATCTCAGAGGAAGAGTTTCGTTTAGTCCTCTCTGAACTCGCAAAATATCATAGAATGAAACAAGAGATTCGATCCAAGTCTTGTAAAAGCACTACCATCAGCGAAGTTGAGAAAAAAAAGTACATAGAACAGGGGATACAAAAAGCCCAGCAAGCCTTTATTACGAACACCAAAGAGATCATAGGCGATTCACATTAAACTGTTTCATCGATGTCAACGCGACATAGGGTAATCCCAATAGTGTCATAGCGGCACGTGGAGCTATTATAGACGCAGCCCAGCTTTGGATGATGCAATCCCAGGATAGACCCGTTAAACCGAGATACTTCAGCTAAGTCCCCGGTAGCTCAGTCGGTTGAGTGGCTCGGCCTATTATAGTTTGCGTGTGGGGTTCGTATCCCGATGGTGCCTCAACTTTTTATAGGTATATTCACGAAGGGAAATCAGCGGGGGCTCAAAAGTAGTAGATACAATGGTAGCAAGATCTAAGGGCCCGACAAAAGCCTTATTTGTGAAATAAGGCTTTGCAGAGGCTTTTGTTGGACTTGGTCCAGGACTATCATTGTATATACTACTTACGGACACTGCTGAATACATAGTCCCCCCGCTACTCGTTGTGGGGGGGGAGGGGACAAATACAAATAATTGTCATGTCTGACCACTCTCTGAAAGAGCTTTCAGCCGTATGAGCAGTGCAAATTTACACCTATCAAAGGGGTACACATATTGACTACCAGCTGTCAGACTCACTTGTGTTACTGGTGATTGGGTACCTTTGAAAGTGTGGGTTCAAATTCAAGATGGAATCCAACCCAAAAGACTACTTGAATTTATTCTTCACTTCAAGAAAGTGGAATTCTGATTATATAACATACATTACATGTAAACGGTGTTGTGTATTCCCAGAATCAGAGGTTGTTACTGTGACAAGTAGTGGCTTCTTCATGGGAATACTGATGCAGTCATCCTCAACAACAAGTCACAGAAACACTTGGAAGTACACAATGCCATTAAAATACACAATGCCATTTTGGAAAGTGGTCAAATGTAACATATGTTCTATTCGGGATTACACTTTCTCAGTAAGACTTGGAAGTGCTGGTGCTGTAACTGACCAAGCTCTGTGAGCGCTTGAGCCAAAGATCCCATTCCACTGACAAAATAGCTTTGACTACTGGAGAGCTTGAGGGATCTTCTTCTGGATCTTGTTCCACCTGTGGCTTGGCTTCAATGAACTGAAAACATTTAGCAGTCATCCAAACTGACGAAGCAGCAATCTTGTCTGGGCCAGGTTGTCAAATGGACCTTAAGCTTAAATGCAGTTGTTGATGTAAGTTTTGAAGATGATCCCCTTGTCATGTAGAGATTGTGTGAATGTATTCATTAGGTGGGGTGGTAAAAAGCAACACGACTGTAGAAATGCCAAACAGAAGGAATCACCAGTGGTCGAGTAAACCTTCAACTGTGAACCACAGATAGTGCCTGTGCATCAAATGGATCAAGACCTGGAAATAGTCTTCTAGGAGATACAAAGTTACCATGAAGTTCCCTTGAGTGATGAGTTTTCATAAAAGTGAGATGAAGAGCATCCTGAAATGAGGCAGTGTCTCAAGGGCAATCACTTCAATCAAAAGTGGAGCAATTGGGTAGAATGATCTGGACAAGAAGCTGACTCCCCTTGACTGCATGCCTTTGGTTGATTGTTAAAGGATAATTGCCCTTGTGAACTTGGCTAATGGCTTATAATACTGTCCTTTGAACCAAGTAACAGCTGTTCTAAGATGCTTCAGTGAAAGATTAAAGGCACCGACAGTACTTTATCAGACGATAATGTGCACTTTTTGCATTACATCACAATGTAATGCCATTCTAGTCTGCCCCCTCGTAATCGAACAATTTTGCATTACGTCACAATGTAAGTAACATCACGATGCATGTCAGTTGTCATCGCCTCGTACAGCCTCCTACAGTAAACTGCTCCATTGCATCCCGTTTCTTGGTTTGCAGTTGCTTCACGCAGCTAACGTCACTGGTGGACACATTATGTTTATGTTTTCCAACGTTTAAAATGTCTCAATTCGACTCACAAGTTTTCAGCGACACGGTAACGTTCGCAATGTTTACATTCCCACAATGCAATCGTGGAATGTCGCTTGACTACTCAGCTTCATCTGGATGTACTGATCTAAACTTACGTTGATAGTAGAAATGCGACGTTCATATTGCCCCATATGGTTTACGTTAATCACAGATGAAATTAAAACAAGAAGACAAAGTCATCAATATCCCCCGCAATGGCAAAATACTCTTCATGATTATGTCTACTAGTTATGATTATGTCAAATATTTAGGTGTGTATATAGAAAAGTGGAAGGAGAGTATTGAAAGGTTTTTAAAGTTCTGCTCCAGAAAGCAGCACTATCATCAATTTCAGGCTAAGTCAAACTTGTTGCCACGGAAGTGCCAAAAGTATTTTATTCAGAATTCCCAAAACTACCAAAAGGCACCAGTACACCACCAGATCCATGTATGTGCCAAGTTTGGTGAAGAAATATTGAACGGTTTTAGAGTTCAGCTCCGGAAAAGAGCACTACCACAATTTCAGGCTAAGTCAAACTTGTTGCCATGGAAACGCCAAAAATATTCAATTCAGAATTCCAAAACTACCAAAAGCCACCAGTACACCACCAGATCCATGTATGTGCCAAGTTTGGTGAAGAAATATTGAACAGTTTTAGAGTTCTGTTCCGGAAAAGACAAATGTGCAAGGACGGACGCACGACGCGAAACGCTTGAAATATTTTAGTCAATTTTAATACCCCCAGCAAACGCCGCGTTGCGGGGGATAATAATTTAGAAGGATATTCAATCAGAACGTACCCCCTCTCAAACAGTTTATCATTTGTTTTTTCTGGTAACGTTCGTCTTAACGTAGGGGGTAGTCACATCCACAGAACAGCGTGCCAGTTAGCCCTGTGCGAGGATTCTTAATTTAGGTCACCGACACCGTCGTTTGTTTTCTGCCCTTAGATTAATCGTAATTATCCTTAGAAAGTATTCAATTTGGCATCTTAGAAAAGAAATACAGTTCGCTCTACCACCATGTGGATGCAAGCGTCTTCGTGCTTTAACTATAATAGTTCAGGGCGAAAGTGTGCTTTATTACACTATACATGGTGGTAGAGCGAACTGTATTTCTAAATTATATTTCTGATTTCACTATGTTAGTAAAGCCCACTATCTTGCCAGTCCTATCCAGGATTCAGTCCCACAATGCCAGAGTGAGGCACCTGTTGGCCTGCATAACAAGAGTCATCAGAAGATGACAAACACCCCAGGCCCCCACATAGAACTAAGTCTGAATCGTTTTCATGGAAACCCGGGAAAATAAAAATGCCAAAAATCTCCAAGTAGCAAAAGACACCAATTTGGGATCTGCCTCACATATCTGCCAAGTTTTGCTGAAAGATATTGAAAGGTTTTTCGATCTACCACTTCAATTACTTATCTCTGTTGTGCTCTGGAATTACCTAAATCCACCCCTCCTTTTGAGACTAAGTCCAGAAAAGAGAAAGTTGCATGGCATGATGGGTAAACCCAGTGAAAAAAGGGAGGTATGCTCAGCACTGCATACCGCTGTCAACAAAAGTTTGTTATTTAGAAAAAATAATAACTATTTTAAAAACTTTTCAAGGAATTGGAAACCTCTCAGTGAAAATATGCTAGAGTACCCCAAGGAAGACTTACTTCAAGGAATTGGAAACCTCTCCCAGTTTAGGTAATTTTCTGTCAACTACACTTCATATCGAGACGCAATATGATAGCGATTGCTGTGACCCCAACAGAAGTAACGGAGATGTTTATTCAACGGGCTGTTATTTTAGTCAGCTAAGACCGGATTGCAAAGGATTGTTCTCATAGTAAGTTGATTTTGGGGACCATTAGTTTAGTCTGTAATCCGTAATTGAGAGAGTCCAGATTATAAAGCAAGCTTTAATGATAAATTAAGAAAATTTTGCCGAACTCAAAGAGTAGTCCGGATTATGGAGAGAACCGGATTACACAGAGTCAGGATTTGACAGATTCCACTGTATATCAGTCACAAAAAATTGTTAAACAACATATTGAAAGTTTAGTACACTTTCCTAATATGTTGTAGTTTCTTTTTACTTTGTCTAGAGATTGTTTCAATGAGAAAATTTCTGAACAGTCCCTAAAAGTGTTATAAACATTATCATTTGTGTTCAAAAGATGTATACCTTTGTAGGTTGTTGATGGATAAGTCTGAGGGATAAGTCTCTTGAGAAAAATTGAGAAATTGAAAGTATGATTGTTTACAGCTCTCTCGTGTGTTAGCTGGCATCTATTTAGCAGTTGTAGTATGTAGTATGTAGGCTGAAGACAGACTGTTTTGGTGTGGAAGTCATCACATGGAATTTGAAGCCTGATTTATATTTTTTTTACCTGCCCTCTCATACAAGCAATCACGTAGAATTAATGAACATAGAGCATGCTTTTTCTACAGAAATCAGTCTTATGTCCCTTTAACCTTGGTGTGAACCTTTTTATCTACTGACTTTAGACAGCTGTATTCCCAACCTGCATAGTCCTGCATTTCCCTCTTTCACTTCTTTGCCACAGGCCTCATCTTGACGACTGCCAACTTCACCATCCTTCTGTTCCATTACAGGACATGCTCTGAGGGCCTGACCAGGCCCTTCTGTATTGAACTGTACTTGGCCAAACTTAGAAACAGAAGAATGAAAAGAAATCAACATTTAATGTCAGTCAACAGTTGAAACCAGAATAACTGAAATAAAAATTTCTGGTTATAATGTTGGTTACAATCCATCAATTTTTCTGTCGGTTATTTTCTAGATTCTCATGTGGCCTTTGACATGAATATTTTGACAAATTGAGCTGCATGGTTCTTAAATCTACAATATGTTTACTCCTTTCTTTGTTGTTGATCCATACATTCAGCAATATTCCAGCTATGTTACCCAGAACTAGAAAGCTGCCTGCATTAACATGCCAAAAATAGAAGCAACCCTACATCCCTAACATGTCTTAGATGCCCTAAAAGTTTCCCATCAGAAACATGTATCATGGCCATTTTCATTAACCAAATCACTTGACAGCTGACCACCAATATCCATCCATATAACTTTGAAACTTAACCCATTAAGGCCGAGAGCCGCATATATGGGGCAAATTAATCAGCTCCTCTTAGCGAGTGACGCGTTTATGGGGCAGGTAATTGGCAGTTTCTCACAGCGAGAGCCACATATATTCCTCAATAGAAAGCGCCTCTTATTCAGAAAGTGACGCACATGTGTGTCATTACTTTTTTTTTATCTCAAAATATACCTGTTATTTCAACCAATTCAGTAGTACTGAGCAAATATGTGCTTTTCTTACGAGAGGTGCTACCTTTAGTGTCAATCAGAAGAAGTATTTAAAGTGTTTTGATAGCAATTGCTAATCATTATCATAAGCTTATACAGCTTTTGACAAATGAACACATGTCGGCGAGAAAGGGGATTATGATGTTTTGGAAATGGATACTAAAATATTTCTTATGCACATTGATTGAATTAGATGTAATGGTTTAGAGGTTACTGTAGATTATGTTTTGTTCAACTTCCTAATAAATAGGAAACAATATACAAAATTTCAAGGACATACAAAGAATTCAAACACAATAGAATAGTTTGAATTTACTTTTTAGGTATTATTACGTTGTCATGTTTCATATAATGAAATATAATGTATAAACACAAATAATTATACATCCAAGCTCGAATAGATTAGACATAAATTAACTTACTAATTTAAAGCTTACTGAATTGTAACTAGTTATTTTCAATAATCTAAAATTTATAATGATTCCTAATCGAATATCGCGTCTTTGCATCGAATATATATACATGTCAGTGTTATTACAACAATGAAATCTTTTACTACGTTTGTTACAAAACACAGTAAGTTGGTAATTAAAAAAAATCTTAGACATAGACAGAAGTAGTATTACATGTAAACCATACAAAGGTATTTCAAGCATTTTGGTTCAAGCTGTTGAAAGTTTCATGTTGATTTGAATTGCCAGTTTTCTATGCAATTTACATGAGCATTGTGTAAAACATTTGCATTTGATCTCTGTAATTATCAAATCCGGTGTAATTATCACGTGTATCAATGAACTCAGTCTCTATTGATCCATCATCAATAAAAGCTGGATAGTATATCAGTTACGGTATCGATACACATGCGTATAATCATTCAATCAGATTACAGTAATGAGATAACTGAATACCTCTTTCGACCTTGAAATAACAGCCTCCGGTAGAATGCATATGTAGTTACGTCCTTGTTGAAAGGTTTGTCCCGTGACAAGTGTAAAATAAACAGATGCGATGTTGTATCATTGGTCAACTTGCTTTATGGAGTCACACCCTCTCTGTAATGTTTATGCATGCATGCACATCTGTAATCTTATGAACCTAGTTTGCATTCAGTATAAATATAGGCATGCCCATCTTCATAAATATTTGGGGGGATTCAACTGCAAGTTTATACAATATAATAATTCAGTATAGTGTCACTTCATGAATTCTGTAATACGTGTACTTTAGTTTGGATATTCATTCGTATCAAGGTGAAGATTATATTTACATGTACAGCAAACCATTATGTTTTATGTACTAGTTGTGTGCGTAAAATGTATATGAAAATAAATACTATCTCTACTCAATGGTTGGATTTCAATCGCTTTGTTTTACTTATCGAAAAACACTCAAATGTGTTTTCGATCTCTGAGGACAAATAAACTCGCCAAAGACTCTATCTACTCTTATTTGTCTTATGTGCATATTTCATACATCGTTACCAGTGTGTATGTTTACAATACACAAACTGTTACATGATAGCTTTAGTTGATAAAGCTCAAACCTAGCATATCGACTGGTCAACGATATAGCAAATAATCAATCTCTATCTAAGCTGTTGAGTGACCAAACATGCTCTTCAGAAATTTCGCCCACGCTCCATCACCTGTCCTTTCCTCTGTGACAGGTATCTCATGATACGATTGGTCATAGATAACAAATGACCAGCCACTATATTGAACAGTTGAGGTACCAACGCTCTATTCGGGAAATTTGATGATCACTTCTCTATCACGTGACTCTTTGTTTTATGTCTATACAAAGGAATATGTAGTATACATGTTTTATATGTATGTTTGTATGGTCACATATGTTTTCTGCATTAAATCTAGATGAAACAAAGTGCCAAGCTATGAATGTGCTCTATGTTAGTCACAGACTAGTGTAAATAGTACTTTCCTTAAAATAATCTGTATACACTAGAAACATATTGGCAAAAAAGCTAATTTCATAGAAGATCATAAAGTATGCAAGTAAGTTCTTCTTTACAGTATGTCATTGTCATAGATGTTTCGTAAAATTAAACCTCCAGGGGTTCCAGGTGCTGAGTAGTGGAGTGGCTCTCGGGCTTAATGAGTTAAAGTATTATCAATAATGATAATCATTCTTGATTGCCTTATTTCCTGAAACTTGTTTCTGATCCACAGGTTTAACTTGAATAAAAACTTTACAACATCCGTATGTTGTGTTGGCTAACTTCCTCGTGGTCTTCCCAAGTTTGAGTTTGGGAAACTTCACAATTTTTCCCTAGGATACTTTGTGTGAAAATAACTCTGGAATTCCCAGGGGAAGGATGGGTGGGCCTTTACCTAAGTGTTAGAGGTAGTATTCTAAGAATTCTTATCATTGTTGATAATATACTAAGCAGCAAAAGAAACATCAGTTTGGAATTTTCCTTCGCAGAAACGTATACCTGTAAACTCACTAAATGTTTTGATTGTATATTTTTGACAACATCTCCAACTTTACCTGAGCAAACACATTCCTTCCCAAACTCAGAATTGAACCCAAGAAATGGTCTCAAAAACGCAACCTGATCTCGGAGATAGTACAGTGTTTTCCATGTTTTTTTAGCAACTCTTGCTGCAAGTGCTGTTCACAAGGACCAGCCCTATAAAATGCACCCCCAAACCTGGTTCAAACATGCACATTACAACGTCAGCAGGATGCCGCGACTCATAACAAGCACAGAGGAACCAGGCGCTAGGAAGACTTGAAGCTGGCCACACTGCACAAGCCGTTGCCAATCACTTCCAGGTCAACGTCTGGACCATCTCAGGCTGCAGCAACGTTTATGGGCCACCAACACCACAAATGATCGCCCACATACTGGCAGACCAAGGGTTACCACAAGACGACAAGACCGCCATGAAGTGTGACAGCATGTACAGAATCCCTACATGCAGGCATCTGAAACAGCATGCCAGACAGTGGGAACACACGGAAGACCAATCAGTACTGACACAGTACGCCAACATCTTAACAGCGGGAATCTTCATTGTCATAGACCTTACCATTGACTTATCCTCACCCCTCGTCATTGGCGTGAACGTCTACAGTTTGCCCTACAACACCAAAACTGGCGATACAGGCAATGGAGAACTGTTCTGTTCACAGATGGGAGTCGGAACTGCGTGATCAACCACGCCATACCACATTTCGCCAGTCACCGAACAACATTTTCCAGCTTGATAAGGCCCGGCCCATACTGCCAGAGCTACACGGACTTCCTACAGCAGAACAGTGTCAACATTATGCAGTGGCCAGAGTAGTATAGGGAATGGTGGTATGGACTGGTCCCCAAGAGCTCAAATTAAAAATCTGAGCCCTTGAGATGGACCTAATCCGCACCGCTATTGCATAATACCACTGTTTGATGTGCATGTCAGAAAGGAGATACTGACTTTTTGAGCAAGCTATGTGTACAGCTCTCACTCGCTCAACACTATCAGTGGTCCTCGTGGTGTGAAGGTGATGGAACTGGCTGGCTGGCTACACTTGTGTTGATGACCGCGAAACAGTTTATCGTGAATCTTCTCCGATAATAATTTGTTTGGTTTTCGTGAGGAAGGCTTCTCGGGCCTGTTGCCTCCCTTGTTCCACTTACTTTTTTTTCTCGACTTTGCTGAATTCAGAGATTTTATGAGACTTGGTTCGAATGTCTTGTTTCATTCTGTGGTATTTGGCGAGTTCTGAGAGCACCAACCTAAACTCTTCCTCAGATAAGTTACTGTCGGTGAGCGCGGTGGAAATGTGATCTTCTATCGTGTTGAGCTTCCCTTCGGCTAGAACTCTAATTTCGTCGTGTTTCAACGCTTTACGTTGCAGTCTGCGAGATATGTACTAAAGCGCCAATCCCGCTAACCCTACCATTCCTGCTGTTATTTCGATGCCCAACACCACGGGCTGCCACTATGGTGGATAGCAGCCCGACTCGGCCATCGCCTAATCCCATGCCTGTTGCCACCAGGGCAGTGTTGACGCCGGCCCAACGAATTGACGACTCTGTGATATTTTTATGCAGCTCTCACGCCAAGATCGCGATCTTGTTCTAGTTGTCGTTTGATGTCGCATATCTGTTACAAACGGAACCCGTCTACGGTTTCCAGAGTTTTCGCCACTTCATCCACGACCGGGTACAGTCACATTCTATGTGTGTGTATATACTCTCTTACAAAATACTATTTAATTGGTCCTCAGTGAATCGTTGGTGAATATACTTTAAGCTAATAAAATGGAAATGTTTCAAGCATTTTGGTTCAAGCTGTTGAAAGTTTCATGTTGATTTGAATTGCCAG